GGGGCTGGAGAGATGGCTCAGAGGTTAAGAGCACTGCCTGCTCTTCCAAAGGTTCTGAGTTCAATTCCCAGCAACCACATGGTGGCTCACAACCATCTGTAATGGGGTCTGGTGCCCTCTTCTGGTCTGCTGGCATACACACAGACAGAATATTATATACATAATAAATAAATAAATATAAAAAAAACCATAGATGAAGAGATTATTCTTTTCCCTTAAGTATCTATTTTAGGAGGCAAGAGACATGGCTCAAGGATTAATGCCCTTGCTGCTGCAGAGGACCAAGGTTCATTTCCCAGCACCCACATAGCAGTTCATAACCCCCATCCATGATATTTTTTGTCCTCTTAGGGCACTAAGCACACATGGTACACTTACAAGCAAACATGAAATTAAAATAGATCTTTTGGCTTTTTAAGGCAGGATTTCTCTGTGTAACAGTCCTGGCTGCCCTGGAACTCTCTTTGTAGACCAGACTGACCTCCAACTCATAGAGATCCTCCTGCCTCTGCCTCCCAAGTGCTGGGATTAAAGGCTTGTGCCACCACCACCTGGCCTAAAATAAATCTTTTAAAAATAGTATTTCCATTGAAACCTTTTAAAAAAGCCTATTCTTTAGAGTAACTAGACTTTTTTATTATTACATAAGTATTTGTACACATATGCCATGGAGTGTGTGTAGAGGACAGAGGACACCTGTGGTAGTTGGCTCTCTTCTTCCCCACTGAGTCCCAGGGATCAGACTCACAGTCATCAGGCTTGGTGGCAAGCCCTCTTTCTCTGTAGCTTTGGAGCCTGTCCTGGAACTAGCTCTTGTAGACCAGGCTGGCCTCAAACTCACAGAGATCCATCTGCTCTGCCTCCTGAGTGCTGGGATTAAAGGCGTGTGCCACTGCCGCCCGGCTAGACGCTGTTTTGTCTGCTGGTGAAAGACTTGGTGTAAAAGAGCAATATGGTATATAAGTTTAGCTCCGTGTTTTAATCTCCTTTCTTATATGCCAAGTTACTCGATGTTCATTATCACAGGAAAAAGCCATGGTGGACCCTTTGTTCTTCTATAATTGTATTTGAAATAAACATACAGGTATTTATAGTGAAGAAATAGGCTTTCACGTTCATTCTGTGCTTCTGAAGTGGTAAATCTTGGGTTTTGTTTATCCATGAAGCTGACAGCAGATCCCAGGTACAGAGGGCACGCTATGAGGCAGCTAACTGGAAATACAAGTACGGCTATGAGATTCCTGTGGACATGCTGTGTAAAAGAATCGCTGATATTTCTCAGGTCTACACACAGAATGCGGAGATGAGGCCGCTCGGTTGTTGTAAGTATGCTCGGAAGTCTTCTGAAGAGTTGAGATGTAATTGTCTTTAAAGTGTGTGGACAGAGACTGAGACCACACGGGTTCTGAACGTGTAGTTTGAAACTAAAGCTTTGAGTTCTCTTTAGAATATGTGACGTGGAACAGCCAAGTCCCCATTTTACTAGGCTTTTGTAATGGGGGTTCTTCTGTGATTCCAGGTTATGAATTCTGTGAAAATTTAGAAGGCATCTTAACAGTGCTGATGCTGCTTTTGTTTATGGGATAAAGAATTGGGATAACACATAGCCTTACAGCTTATGTTTGTATTTCTAATTTAAATTTTTTGTTTGGTTGGTTTTTTGAAGTAGGGTTTCTCTGTGTGACAGCCCTGACTGTCCTGGAACTCACTCTGTGGACCAGGCTGGCCTCGATCTCACACAGATCTGCCTGTCTGCCTCCCAAGTGCTGGGATTAAGGGCGTGTTCATTGAGGAAGAGTAAGATTTATTGATCTTTAAATTTAATGTTTTTTAAACTCACCTGACAATCTCAATGCATATTTGGTTTTTGTTTGTTTGTTTTTGTTTTCCAAGGCAAGGTTTCTCTATGTGGCTCAGGCTGGCCTCAAACCCAAATCCACTTGCCTCTGCCTCCAGAGTGCTGGGATTAAAGGCATGTGCCACTACTGCCTGGCATCATATTTGTTTCTTGGCATCATTCATTAATGAAAATTTAATGTTCCAGTCCCCTGACCTTCGTGTGTGTGTGTGTGTGTGTGGTACTAGGCTTCAAACCAGGGCTGCGTTTGCTGGACAAGTGCTCTACCACAGAACTATAGACCTAGCTCTGAGAATTAAGTGTAATGTTTCTTTTTAGTAAATGATTCTGTTGACCTCTTTAACATTATTTCTTCTTTAATTTCTTATTTTCTTCATGTGTGGTGTTTTGCTTGCATGTATTTCTGTGCACCCTGTGATGGGCTGTGGAGGCTAGAAGAGGGTGTCAGATCCCTGGAACTAGAGTTAAAATGGCTGTAGGCTGCCACGGGGTTTCTGGGAATCGAACCCTGATTCTCTGGAAGAGCACCCAGTGTTCCTTTAACTGCTGAGCCGTCTCTCCAGTTACTAATTTCATCCCTGTCCCTCCTTTAACTCTTGAGTTTGAGTAGCTCAAGCTTGCATCAAATTTGTGATCCCCGACTCAGCCTCTTAAGTGCTAGCATACAGGTATGGTGGCTCCTAGTGCTCTCCCTGCCCAGTGTCTTTTGTTCATGCTCCTCTGTTGATCCCTTAAATGTTGTTGCTTCTCAGGCTTTATTCTCGGGCCTTCTCCTTTGCTCTCTGGTTAATGTCACCCTTGAGTGGCTTCACTCACTTCCTTCACTTTGCTCTATGCCGGTCGCTCACCTGGTTTCTTACCCCACCCTCCATCTCTCAGGCCCTGTGACACCGGGTCCCTACTGCTACATGCACCCTCAGCTTCCCCTTCGTAGTCTTACTCACCTTCCTGGTCGTCTGATTTTGCCTCAGAGTATCTTATTCCCTCCTCTCCTGTCATTCTCTCACTGTCGTATTGCCATTATTTTTCAGCTAATTTATTTCTTCTGTCCCTTCCTTTTTTAATCTGCCCTCTGTATCCATGACTTATTCTAAAAATGAATTTTGATTGTTACAGCAAAGAAAGGGATCTGAGGAGACTGGTGATGACATGGGCTTTGGTCTTTTTACTAAGCTTCTTAACAAGGCCAATAAAACATTGAGCCTGTTTAAAACAGCAACAGACTGATAGATAGATCCTTTTCCAAAACAGCAGCTTACCTGTTACCTGATCTGACAGTGGTTGTAAAGTTAGATTTTAATGGTTTGAGAAAATACATGAGTCTAAAATTAGTGTCCAAATAATGATTAACAATAACTGTGTGGTGACACCAAGAAAGGAAATGTCTTTGTAGGACAGTGTAACCTGTTTCTTTGGAACCTTTCTTTTCAGGTATGATTTTAATTGGTATCGATGAAGAACAAGGTCCTCAAGTGTACAAGTGTGACCCTGCAGGCTACTACTGTGGCTTTAAAGCTACCGCAGCAGGCGTCAAACAGACAGAGTCAACCAGCTTCCTCGAAAAAAAAGTGAAGAAGAAATTTGATTGGACATTTGAACAAACAGTGGAAGTAAGTTAGCCAAAAGGAGTTGATTTTTTTTTTTACTGCTATAAAAGAGTAAGCATTGTTGTGTTATTGATAGTCTATAAAAGCTATTTCTTAGTTAGGTGGTGCTGGTGCACGCCTTTAATTCCAGCACTTTGGAGACAGAGGCAGGAGAATCTCTGTGAGTTCAAGCCAGCTTTGACTACAAAGAGAGTTCTAGGACAGCCAGAGCCATTACATAGAGAAACCCTGTCTTGAAAAACCAAAAAGGAAAGGGGGGGGCTATTAATAATGTCACAAGATCCAAATTTGTTAGCTTAGTGGTAAAAATTCATATCATCTGGCTGACATTGGGGGAAAAGGGGATGCTTTTATTCATTTCCTATCTTAGTTAGTAATGGAATTTAAACAGTATCCAACAAACACACAATAAAATAAGAATCAAGACTCAAAGACTGGTGTGGTTAATATGATTAACTGACTCAAACTGAGTTTAAATTTTCTGGATTAAAAACTAAAAAAAAAAATAAAAAAAAATAAAAACTAAAAAGACTTAAGATTTGCTTTGTTAATATTTATTTTTGTGTGTATATATGCATGTGTGTGTGTTTGAGTGTGCCATGACACTCATGGAAGCCAGGACCAACTTACAGGGTCAGTTCTTTTCCGCCATAAGGGTTCGAGATTGAACTCAAGTTGTTAAATTTGGCAGCTGGAACCCTTACTCACGGAGCTATCTTACTGGTCCAGTAATAATTATTTTTATGGTCCTAAATAAAAGCAGCTACAAACCAAGTTCTTGGAGAGCAGATTGTTCCCTAGTAACATGCGCTCAGAGATCTGGGAAGAGGGCTCAGCCTGTAAACTGGGGATCGCATCTCACTTGAGTGCCTCGACCCGCGGCACAGCACAGCCCTGATTCTGCTGTGACTGTAGGCTTGAGGTGCCCACGTGGTCAGTTCAGACCCTGTCTCCCAATGCTGTCCTCTGACCTCTACACACTCTACACGTTTTAAAAACTTTTATAACTTGGATGTGTTGGTGTACACCAGTAGTCCCAATTTGGGGGAGGCAGAAGCAAGAGGATCGTGAAAAGTTTGAGGCCAGCCTGGTCTACATGAGTTCCAGACTAACTAGTCAGGGCTTCAAACAAAGACCTGTTCTCAAAACAGACAAATTTTTAATTGTTTAACAATTTATCTTATATTGAAAGAAAGCATAAAATAAGTTAGCTCTGATCTAGAAAATAGAATGGTACGCCTTCTTTAAATGTTTCTTAAAGTATAATTTATAGTAATGTTAATCACATCTGATAGAAAACTGCTTAAAACACTCTTAAATTACTACCTCCAAACCAAAAGCATTTAAAAGGTCAGTCATCAGTCTGAACGGTTGAGTTGTTCTTTAGTCTCTTTCACGCTACGTACTAAACATAAAGCCTTGATTATAGTGGTCATCAAACAAACAAATTTTTATTATTTGTTTATTTGTTTGTTTTTTTTATTTTTATTTATTTTTATTTTTTTTTTAAAGATTTCTTTATTATGCATACAACATTCTGCCTCCGTGTATGCCTGCATGCCAGAGGAGGGCGCCAGATCTTAGTACAGATGGTTGTGAGCCACCACGTGGTTGCTGGGAATTGAACTCATGACCTCTGGAAGAAGAGCCAGTGCTCTTAACCTCTGAGCCATCTCTCCAGCCCCTATTTGTTTGTTTTTTGAAGCATGGTTTTTCTGTGTAGTTCTGGCCGTCCTGGAACTCACTCTGTAGACCAGGCTGGCCTCAAACTCAGATCCACCTGCCTCTGCCTCCTGAGTGCTGGAATTCCAAGCGTGCACTACCATGCTGGACTGTAAATAAATTGTTATATATTCCATCTCTTTTGTTTGATAAACTCTTTAAATTTGGGGCTGTTTAATAGAAGCAGGTTTATGTCAGCAGTTGGTTAATAATGTGCCTGTAGGACTGTCACTGAATCACAGGAGCGAGTGTCTTGTGGTCGGGGACCGTGATAGCTGGAATGTCTTATATTTTATTGTTGGCATTCTTTTCAGACTGCAATCACATGCCTGTCTACTGTTCTGTCGATTGACTTCAAGCCTTCAGAAATAGAAGTTGGAGTAGTTACAGTCGAAAATCCTAAATTCAGGTGAGTTACGTTTTCAGTCGGGTGTTAAATTCTAGACTAAAAAACTAGAGATGTTAGAGTTCCTTTGTGTGTGGTGGTGTGACGAAATGCCATCTTTTTTTGCTTCCAGAATCTAAGGACTCTTTTTTAAATTCCTTAGAAGTGGTGATACATACTTGTGATCCTGGCACTGGGGAGGCTGAAATGGGGGGGGGGTGTCACAAATTCAAGGGCCAGCCTGGCTCCTATACCAAAAAACCTTATCTCAAACAAATGGTTGAAGAGAAGTGCTTAGCTAGCTTGCTCAGAAGTCGTGGGTTGGATCCCTGTGGAAACAGAACTGTGGAAACAGAACAACTTTGAGTCTCTTACAACGGAAGCAGCTCTTCTCCCTCTTCTAACACCAGAGGTGACACACACACAAAATAACCTTTATACCAAATAAAATGAGGAAATGCGGCTTGGCCAGGTGCTGGCCTGGCGGGCACGCTGCCCTGGATTTGATCCCTGACACCACAACACATAGTAGACAAACAGGTCCACGGTGGAAACTTTCAGGTGGAAATTTGATTATTTGCTGGGTAAGGGAGCTTTGAAGAGCAATGTGAAATACTGATCCACAGTTGAGTCGCTGGTGCTGGTCTCGAGTGTTCTTGCTTACCAAGTGTCTTAACTCTCACACATCAACTTGAGTGACCCAAGTGTGTCAGTCAGCTCATCCTCCCAGCAACCTGTAGGGGTTTGTATGCCATGGCCTAGGATGCTGTTGTTAGTGAAAAACATAATTAAATCTACATATGCAAAGAGCTGTTCAGCGTTTTACCTGTTCAGTGTGTCTCCTCTTAGACTACGTCTGTGTTATTGTTAGAGAATTAGTAAACAGTTTCAAACCTTGAAGAGTTTTTTAGTGGTGTGTGTGTGTGTGTTTTTATTTTGTGACATTGTCTTGGGATGTAGGCCAAACTGAATTTAAACTTTGGATCATTCTCTCTCAGCCTCCCGAGTACTTGGATTGCAGGTTGTAGCACAAATTCTAATTGTTCTTAATAAAAGCCCAGACTCGGATACTAAGGGATGAAACCTGAGAGATCAGAGAAGCAGAGCAGCCAGCCACTAGAGACCTTTTACCTCTACCAGTGCTAGGGGCGATCCTGTCCTCAGACCGCCTCCTTAGACTGCATCTCTGACTAACTGCTTCAGACTGTACTGAGCTCCTTCCTTATATTTCTTCTCCTTCCTTATATTTCTCTCTCTGCCCGGCCATCACTCCTGTCTCCACCTCCCTCGTGCTGGGACAGATCTGGGAAGAGGAAAAAGCCTCGTGTAATTTCTGAACTCTGTGATAGTGAGTGTACTTGAGACAGATCACTCCTTTCTCCACCTCCCTAGTGCTGGGATTAAAGGCTGGGGTCACCTTTGTGTGAGCTCTGTTTTTCTTTTAGACAGATTCAATCTTATATAGCCCAAGGTGGCCTTGAACTAGCAGAGTTCCCTCTGTCTCCTGAGTCCTGGGATTAAAGGACTCCCTGGCCTCTAGTGGCTTAGTTCTGAGCTCTGATCTTCAGTCAGGCTGTATTTGTTAAAACAAACAAGATACCACTATAGCAAGTTGCTCTCCCGAACAGACCTCCATAATATGTATCCCTCCCCCTTCTGATTTGATTTGCTTTCTTGGTTGGCTGCAAGTAAGTGATATAAACATGAAAACCCTATAGAACTAAGAAAATAACAGGTGCATCTAGTCTAATAATTTTTTCTACACGAAAATGTTCCCCTTTTTGTTGTTGTTTTGTTTCTTTTTGAGCCAGGTTGACCTCAGTCCTCAGGACCTGGATTATAGACCACCACACCCATCTGCTTCCTTTTTCTAAGCACTGAAATTCCAACAGGCACTTTGCTTTCTGATTTGTTATGAAACCTTTTTTTTTTTTTAACTGCATCTGAATGTTATTTGCATCTGTTATTTTAAAATTGAGCAAGAAACCAAATATCTGTGTAAGCAAACCAGTGTACAGGCAGATCCCCAGATGTTGGGCTACTGAGATAGGATTATAGGTTCAAGGTCAGCCTGAGAACATTGTGAAACCTGTCTCAAAATAAAAGTCTTTTAAAAGGCCGAGAGCATAGCTAGGGAGAGTGTTTGTCAGCAGCAGAAAACCTGGATTCAGGGCCAGTACTGGAAAGAGGAAAAAGCCTTGTGTAATTTCTGAATTCTGTGATAGTGAGTGTACTTGAGTCATAACAAAAACATTAGAAATAGCATAAGATTCTACAACTTTATAAGCTACTTCTTTTCCAAATTGTAAAAAAAAAATGGCCGTTTTGACAGATTTACCTTTTTAGAAGTTTAGTAATGAAGTAAGGGCATGGTCACGCATACCTCTAATTCCAGATCTTGGGAAGTAGAGACAGGAGTATCAGAAGTTTAAGGTCATCATTGGTTACATAGTAAGATCCGGGCCAGCCTGGGCTACCTAAATTAGGAGACCTTGTCTCAAAACAAAGCATCAAATAGAATCCCAGCAGTGACAAGTTATGTCAACAGTGTTGCCAAGCAACTGATTCCTTTAAGACAGCTATTTAGAAAATATATCTTCCACATGAAGCACCTTCTGGTGAATAGATTTTAGATACTATTATAACTTTATGTCTTGGATTTTTTTGCAGTGAAGAGACCCCATGATCATGGCAACTCTTGTAAGAAAAACTAATCGAATGAGCTTGCTTATAGTCCAGAGCTTCAGTCCATTATCATGATGGCAGGGAGCATGTTGTGCAGGCAGATGTGTTACTGGAGAGACAGCTGAGCGTCCTACATCTTGCAGGCAATAGGAAGTCAACTGAGGCACTGGGCAGTATCCTGAGCATGGGAAATCTCAACTTAACCCCCATAGTGACACACTTCTTCCCACCCTCTGACAGGGCCACACCCACTCCAACAAAACCACACTTCCTAATAGTGCCATTTCCATGAGATTATGGGTTCTGATCACATTCAAGCTACCACACTTTTTTTTCGTGGATGGTTACTGAGTCCAAGCAGCTTTTGGGGACACACACACATGGATATGGGTATGTGCATGCATTCACATGTGTATGCAGAGGCCAAATGTTCGAAGGTATCCTCCACCTTTTATGCTGAAGGAGAATCTCACATGATCACTGATTCAGTTGTCTAGCTAGCCAGTGTCCTGCTGAGCTCTGGGATTCCAGAGGCTGCCACGCCTGCCTGTGCTGGTCAGAGCTCAGGCAGGTACAGAGAGCACTTTGGTCCCTGTGCTATCCCTTCAGCCCCTCTTCCCCACCAGTTTTTAAGAATTTACTTAAGTTTCTTGTCTCTCAGTTACTATGAATTTGAGTTATAGTAGTATAGCTATATCAAAGTATGGGTTTTGTTGCTACTGTTTTTGTTTTTTATTTTTTGTTTTCAAGACAGGATTTCTCTGTGTAACAGTCCTGGAACTAGCGCTGTAGGCTGGGCTGGCCTTGAACTCACAGAGATCCCTCTGCCTCTGCTTCCCCAGTGCTGAAATTAAAGGCGTGCACCACCACTGTCCAGCCTGAGTTATACTATGTTTTTAAGGCATTGACACCCAAAACAAATTGAATGTAGTTCATATAATTTGGCTTCATATTAATTCACTTAAAATGTTTTCAACTCAGCTGCAATTAAATTCTGGATCTGATATCAAAGAACACTTCGCTACCTAGATGAAACTGATGTGTTGTCTGGGAGTTTCTGTAATATAATCTGAGGAAAGAGTCATGAGCATATAGACTTAAAAGATTGCTCATAAATTGGTAGTTGCTGAAGTCAGTTGATCTGTACATGGAAGTTTGCTGTACTGACTTTTGTATGTTTTCCATATTAAAAACCTTATTGAAATAGGCAGTTGTGATTTTTTTTTTTATCCTTTGCCTTCCAGGATTCTCTCAGAAGCAGAGATCGACGCTCACCTTGTTGCTCTAGCAGAGAGAGACTGAACGTTGTCATCACTTTACCAAATCCATGATGCCACTTGCCTGTGTGTTTGGTGACAGCAAACCAACATCACAGAGGCCCCTGGGTTGAAGATGGAACCTCTCCCACTCCTCCTGCCACTGAGCTGGTTAGGACTGTATAAATAAAACTGCTTTTGGAATACTCGTGTTCTGTCTTTCTTAACCCTAATGTCAGGTGTTACGCCTTAGTACACACAGGTAAGTAAGTAAGTGTTCACCACCCTCGGGTCATAGCTCTGGTCATTTTGTGTTTTCCACAGAAGTGCACCTTTTGTTGCCCCAGTCCACTACCTTGGCATAATAAATAGCAGACTTGGGAGCCGACTTTGAAATTGTCTGGGTTGTCATATGAGACAGGCTTTATTTACACTCCGTGTTCCAGTGGGACATGGCTGGGCTCAGGTTTCCTGGAAGACTTCATACTAAGAGATGCCCTGGCTGAGCTGCATGGTGTTAGTCTTCCCTCTCGTTGGGATAGGACCCAGCAAGCTGTGTGTGGTCTGCTGTCTTTTCAGTACTTGAGTCCATGTTCAGTAAGTGTATATCTTTGTTTTGTGTGGAGATTGTTTTTTGTGTTTTGAAACAAGTTACTGTTTTGCTCCTTCTGGCCTGGAGTTCACTGTATAGATCAGGCAAGCCTCAAACCTGCCTCTCTCTGCCTCCTGAGTGCTGGAGCTAAAAGTGTGTGCTACCACACCCTGCTGTAAGCCGCCTTCAGGAAACCGGACTAGAAAAGGAGAATATGTTTTCTGTTTCCTTAAGATTAAGTACTCAAAGTGGGAAATACAGAACTGGTTTACAGTTTAGAGGTAACACCATTAGTGGGCAAATACATATTCAAAATATTTTTAAGCTTGCTTTTTTGTGTGTTGTTTTTCAAGACAGGGCTTCTTGTAGCCCAGCTGCTGTTTTTACTTGCGCGTTTGTGTGTGTACCTATGTGACTTTATACATGTCTGTGCAGATACCCTCCAGGCTCTCCGATCCCCTGGAACTGGAATTTCAGGTGGTTGGAAGCCACTTGATAAGGGTGCCAAGAACCTAACCTAGTCCTTTGCAGGAGCTGACCCATCTCTCCAGCCCCTTTTGGTATATGTTTGTTTTGCTTTTGAGGCAAGCTTTCTCTGTGTAGTCCTGGCTGTCCTAAACTCACTCTGTAGACCAGCGTGGCCTCAAACTCAGGCGTGCACCACTACATCCAGCTAAGTTATTATTTTTTTTATGTACAGGGTAAAAATTTTAAATTCTTGCTGGGTGGTGGTTTAGTTTAATCCCAGCACTCGAGAGGCAGAGGCAGGCAGATCTCTTTGAGTTCGAGGCCAGCCCAGTCTACAAGAGCTAGTTTCAGGACAGGCTCTAAAGCTACAGAGAAACCCTGTCTCAAAAAAAATTTTTTTTTAAGTTTCTTACAGTAGTTCTTTGGTGACCTAAATCATCGGTCATTTGGAAAATATTCAATACATTTTATGCCCTTGTGGGTACTGGGCAAGACTAGCTGTTGATCTGAGTGGTCAGAGTGTCTACTAGGTGAATAAAATACCAGTTCCTGAAGTCAGAGTTCCTGTCCATAGCCATTGCCCGTATAAGAAGGCCATCTGAGCATCTTGCTACTAGAAGCAGGAAACTTCACCAACCACATCCTCTTCAAGGCTGAGTCAGAGGCTGTAGGCTCTCCTGCAGGGAAGCAGAGTTCCTTCGGTTGAGTGGCCACTGCTCCGGGACTACCCATCTGCATCTGCTGGGTTCTGGGCGGCTGCCACATTTGAAAGTGAGCCCTGGAAGGTCTGCTCCCCGAATAGACAGCATCCATAGAGCCTGGACTGACTGACTTCATCACTCTGGAATCAGATGAGAGACTAGCCAAGGAATTTTTTCTAAGAAGATTGTTTGGACATAGAGAACTAAAATCAATCTGATGGAAAAATTTAGCTGTATGAGGATTAACTGCTGGATAGTGGAAAAAGTATTAGAACAGGTTATGTTAAGGTTAAAAAAAAATACCAATGGAAGGATACAAATTCTGAAAACAATAAATTTTAATGCATAATTTTATCAAAATGAGCAGCCAGAGGACTTCTCTTAGAGACACATACACAACTCCACAGCTTTGACACAAAAAAGTTCAAGGTAAGTCAGTATAAAGAGAGTTGGGGGGTTATTAAAGCCCAGAGAACAAGGCAGCCATATGGGTATGGCCTCTCAAAGGAGAGAGTTGCTTTGGAATCATTTTTCGAACATCTAGGACTTGAGTGACTCTCAAGTCACGAGTATCAACGTTGTCAAGAATCCACACTGTCCTTCATTGTTTACAAAAGCTAACTGGGTTATGAGGAGGCTGTCAAAATTCAAGGTCACCTGTTATCCTGGGCCGAGATGGCCTTGAGTGGCTTTAGGATTCTGAGAGGAGCGGACTGTTCAGACTTGAGGTTACAGCTGCCAGTGGTGGTGCACACCTTTGATCCCAGCACTCTGGAGGCAGAGACAGACAGATCTCCAAGTTCAAGGCCAGCCTGGTCTACAGATCAAGTTTCAGGACAGGCTAGGCTACACAGAGAAACCCTGTCTCGGGGAAAAAAAAAAAAAAAAAAAAAAAAAAACAATGCAGAAAACAAAAAAGTTCAACATCCTCAGCCCTGAGGGAAACAGAAATCAAACCTACACAAAGGCTACGTTAGGTCTCAAACCTGGGGCGCTGAGTCACCTGTTAAACACATCAAAGCGGACCAGGCTCTCCCAGCGTCCCTCAGTTCCTACCTATTACAGGAAATGGCTGGCATACCCTGCCCTACCCAGGGGCTGGGCTGCCTTCCCCATATAATCCAGCCATTTTGGTTACTGGTCTGTTTTGGTCTACCCTTTTTACCTTCCTGGCCTCTTGGACTGGCTTCTCTCCTCTCTACGCCCCCCACCCCCGCCACCACACACACACACACACACACACACACACACACACACACACACGACAGGGTCATGTGCACTCTGGCCTCTCCCAATGTCCCTACCTCTGGCCGTGCTCTCCCTCCACAGTGCACTCTCCCCTTCACCGCTCCTAGGAGTAGTCATTTTCCTTTATTTCCTCTGTTCACTCAGCCCCCACACAGAGCTTAGTAGGAAAGCACGTGTGTGACGTGGGAAGGCCCTGGGTTTGATCCCCAGGATTGCACAACAACAACAAAACTACGTCAATATCCCATGCACTCTCCCCCGAATGACTGTCATTCGAGAAAACTATCGGTGCGAATGCAAAGTGTGGAAATCAGCATGGAAATCCTCAGAAAGCTAAAAATAGAACTAAATATAGAAGAAAGCTAAAAATAGAACAGGTCGTAGACTCCACTAAGCCACCCCGGCCTGGGCACCTGAAGCAGCATACTGTTGTGGGATGTCTGATCACACTGTGGACCCCGAGTTTTCATTTGTATTAATTAATAGGATCAGACTTGGGTCAGGAGGCCAAGAATATAAGGGCAAGAATACAGTGATATAGGAACATGCTAGAATAGAAACCATGATTCTGTGAGCTGAGCGTGGGAGTCTAAAGATTGTGGCCTGCATGGGCTCAAATATTTGAATGCTAGGTCCCTAGTTGGTGGGACTCTTTCAGGAAGGAGTAGGAGGTGTGGGCTTCAAAAGCCCCTATCGGTCTCAGACTCTCTCCCTCCCTCCCTCCCTCCCTCCCTCCCTCCCTCCCTCCCTCCCTCCCTCCCTCCCTCCCTCCCTCCCCTTTACCTTTAGATCAGGATGTACACTCTCAGCTCCTGCTCCAGTGCCACACCTCTATGCCTGCTGCTGCCACGCTCCCTGCCGTAATAATGATCATGGATGGATCCTCTGAAACCATAAGCGTGCTCCTAATTAGACGTTTTCTTTCATAAGTTGCCTTGGTTGTGGTGTCTCTTCGCAACAATAGAAAAGTAACAAGCATGACAAAATTTTTTTAAAAAGCTAACTACTACTGCTGATAAAAGTATAGACACTTTATTATTGGTATTGTTTTTTCATTGTTGTTATTGTGTGGACTTGGCTGAGGGAAGACAAGCTGTATCACACTTGTGGGGGTCCGAGAACAACTTTTAGAGCTGGCTCTCCCTTCCACCTTCGTGTGGGCTCTGAGATTTCCAGGCTCATGCAACAAGCGCCTTTACCAGCTGAGCATGCTGACCCGTAAACTTTATGACATCACAGATTTTATAAACAATAAATTAGATAACATTTAATACTGTAAGATATTAAGCAGCCATTAAAACCTGTTTTGAAAACCAGTGGTGTAGGACGTGTCATTTTTTGAGAAGGACAATGTCTTGCTACATAGCCCAGCTTGACCTTCAACTTGCAGCTTCTTCAGTGCTGAGATTACAGACATGCACCAGCTTTACATAATGTAATGTTATGCAAGAAACAAGACACACAAAATATCCACTGTCAGGGGTCAAGTGTTCGCTTTCACATATACAAGGCATTGTGTTCAACCAAACCCCAGCGTCAGAATTCATGGAACAAATTCTTTTCCAACCCCTTTCTAATTTCCTCTGTACGGTAATGGAAGCTTCTGAGTCCCAGGGTAGGTCCCATTCACAGTGTTCTGTGCAGTTCTCTCTGGTGTCAGAGGAGCCCGCTCAGTCTGCAAACTCAGCAGCCTGGAAGTGCAGGGAAAGCGTGCCAACCGGAGCTGATGTATTAATTCCCAGCCTCCTGTGGGCATTTCTGGGATGGACTAGAGCCATCACTAGAATTCTGAAAGTTTGGCACACGTATGGATTTCCTGGGAGAGACCCTCAGCTTTCATAAGATATTCTAAGAAATCTGCTTCCCAAGAAAGGAAGCAGATGAATGGCAACAGAATGCTCACTGGTTATTTCTGGGGAAGTTGAAACTGCATGTCATTTAAAATACGTTTCTGCATTTCTTGTTTTATTTTATTATACTTGGCATTGTTTGTTTGAGACAGGGTCTTGTTATGTAGCCCTGACTGGCCTGGAGTTAGCTATATAGAAAACGGGAGCAAGTGCTCTTAAATAGTAAGCCATCTCTTCAGCCCCTGTGTTTGTGTGGAAAATGTGTCCGTAGGTGCAGCACTTGCAGAGGCCAGCAGGGGGCAGCCTCAGGTGCCTGGAACTGGAGCTGTAGGACTCCAGGAACCCGC